TTCTGTCTCTTTAAGAGATATACTTCTTATATTTTAAGACAGGGTCCCTCAATAAAATCTGGGAGTTACTAACTGGGCTAGGCTGACTTGCCAGTGAGCCCCAGGGATTGTTCCCATTTTTGCCTCTCCAGAGTTGTGATGTCAAGTATATACCACCATGCATAAATTAATTTGTGGGGTCTGATAATCAAACTGGGGTCCTGATACTTGTGTACCAAGTGCAATACTTAGCAACCTATCTCTTCAACTCTGTATTTCTTTTTCTTTCTTTTTTTTTTTTTTTTTTGCTTTACATCAAAGTAATTTCTTGTTCTTCTCCACCTCACTACTTTATTTCACTTTTATATATTCCCTGTTGTGGCTTTTGCTATTCTCAGTTCTCCTCCACTGTCTTAGACAGTGTCTGAGTCTAGTCATTCGAGCCATTGCTCTCTATTATTGAACAAATGGAACCAATCAGAGCTCCGCCTTCAGAACTGTGATGACAGTGTGTGACCTTGGCTGACACTCAGTATGTGTCAGCACTCTTAGGACTTTAGTATGTTAACTCCTTTCAAGAATACCACAAGAAAGATGCCATTATTCTTATTTGAATTATGAGGAGTGAAGCATTGGGATAATAAATAGGCTGCTTGTTATTGTGCAATTTAGCAGAGACAAAATCTGAACGCATGCTCTTGTTACTTGCGAATGATCCTCTGGAGGAGCCCAGGGCTGAGAGAAAGGCAATCCAGTGGCCCTGCAGTCTCTCTGGCCTCACCTCACTGAGTACAAACGGAGGCACAGCAATCTCACAAGGTCATCTATCAGATAAAACCTTCAGGCCACCTGCCTGCAAAGCAACAGTTCCCTCTACCAGAGCCTTCCTTTCTCAAGTGGAATGATATGCCCTGCTCAGTTGGTCTAAAGGGATCTGACATTTTGTCTATTCTTTCTTGTTTTTTTTTTTTTAATTTTATGGTTTTGAATTCCAAAGATACCGATACTGTCTTTGTTCTTTTGAAAAAATTACAAGTTTCTTTTTTTCTTTTTTCTTTAAAAAAAAAAAACAACCTCATTCTTGACTCATATCAGCTTCTTGATAAACAGAACTAGCATCTGTGTTTGGTCCCAGATATCTTCTGACACACGTCCTGTCTGGTTGTTTGTTCCTACTGGGAATTGACAAGCCTCAGAGAAGGAGGTTTGAGAGAAGTGTGGATGTTCAATGTGAATTTATGCAGGCATTTGAATCAAACTTTTCAATATTTACAGAACTATGAGGGACCGAGGAGATGACTCAGTGATTGAAGTCCTTGCTGTCAGCATGAACACCTGAGTTTAGATCCCCAGTGTCCCCACAGAGGCTGGGCGTGGCAGTGCATATTTGTGATGGCCGTGCTCAGAGGACAACTGAGGAAGACGCTTGACATAGACCTCTGACCTCTACATATGCACACACATATGTAGTAGGCAAATACAGCCACTCACACAATCCACATATATGCATATATCAGCAAACACAGAAAATAAAAGAATTTACAAAACTCTGATGCAGTGGGAGTCCTTGCTGTTGTATAAAACGTGAAACCTCATGGTGGCTTCAGTCATAAAATACAGTTTCTGTAATCAGCAGAAGCAAAGCACAAAGATCCCCCACTGTAACTTCTTATCACACCGTCCCCAAGCTTCAACACTCTCGGATTAATTAATAACAATGTTTTTGTTTTTTGCATTTGTATCTTTGAGTCTTGGCTTCTTCGGGATCAGGCCTTACATATGCTTGGAATTTGTTGGCTAGAGTTTCAAACAGATGGCTGCGTACTCTTTCCCATCTAGGAAACTCGTTTGCTTATTTGTCCTCGCGTTCTCATGGTAACCAGAAGAGGTTGTCCATATTATTTTTACTTACAAAGAAAAAAATTGTGAGCTGTCAGACAGTTGCAGCTGTTTGATGGAGGCTTGACATTTCGTTTTATTTTTCTAGTCTGTGTTGATGGACGCTTATCATACTGCACCTTGTTTTTAGTGACTATTAGAAATAAAAGCGATCAGAGAGGGAGCCATTTCTGTATATTCGCCTTAATTATTTTTCACTGTTAGAAGAAAAAATAAAATTCCCTTTGATATCAAATAGTTTGTGTGATGAAGGTTATTATGATGGCTCAGGTAGATTGGACATAACTGGGTTGTTTAGATAGCTTCACTATAGGGATTGGTCACCTTAGAACCTGAAAATACTCCATTGCATTCTACTTTTCAGCCAGTACCTGAGGTATGGAAACACAGCTCTTGCAAAGGATGTGGTTATGTGTAGTAGGGAGGCTGCTTGTTCGTTCCCAGCCGTTTAGACCTGAAATAATCCCTCAGAAACTGTATTATCTGCAGTTCTGTTTGGCCAATAGTTTAAGCATATTGTTATCCAGTTCTTATATCTTTGGCTAACCCATTTATATTAAACTGTATATCGCCATGGCTGTGAATTACTGGCAAGTTTCCGGCGTGTCTGTCCCCTGCGGCAACTACATGGCTTCTCCATGACTCCTCTCTCTCTATTTCTTTTTCAGCCTGGCTCTATTCTGTTAAGCCATTGGCCAAAAGCAGTTTCTTTATTTATTAACCAATAAAAGCAGCACATATACAGAAGGACTTTCCACACCAGTTATGGTGCCAAGCAGTGGTTGAGTGTAGACTCACGCAAATTGTGTATGTGCAATGGGGCCACCATTATTCCTCAAAATGGGGTCAAATTTCATTGCCACATTATAGTTAACTATTATTAAAAGCTAAGTTCAGTGTGTGTGTGTGTGTGTGTGTGTGTGTACATCTATTAGGCACACTTAAAGAATCAGCTCTTCAGAAATGATAAAACTAATACTTCAATGTAGTGTTATGGGGGAAACCTCAGAACAAAATATTCATTTGTAAAAGATAATTTCTGCTGTGTACAAGGTCATTTCAGGTTTATAATTGATCTCAACTATGAAGTAACTACTACTGCCTATGACATTTTAGTTGGTACTCATAACCTGATTTGTGAAAATAAAATAGCCATTGCTTAATTTAGGAGAGGAATTAGATATAATTATACATAAATATATAAATTTTATTCTCAAATCAGATGCCTGCAGATAAGTCTGGCCAAAGAAACAAGAATAAATATATCTATTCTCTGTGGTTGTGTGAAACTATTGAAGGTGACCTTGGTGAGCTGTTTCCACGGAGACTTCGGTGATGCATACAGAACTTATTCAGTGTTCATTCCTTTCATGTGGGTGATATAAGTCTTCAAAAACCATAAAAAGTGGGATAATAATTATGCCTTATGATTGTTACTATGGAGATATGTATCAAATCTGTATGGAGTTTCTTTGGCCTGATACAAACATAATTTAAGAATATATCTAATCTGATCTATTCTATCCATATGTCTATCTATCTACATACCTACGATAGTTTTGTTGTTGTATTATTATTTTTTTTTGTGATTTTATGTCAGTTTGGGAGCTTACTCTAAGCAAATAAAAACTTTCAGTTTTTGATTTCAAAAGGCAAAATAACACAATGATTGCCAAGGTTGAGCTTTAGAGTCAAATAAGTTTGAATCTGAATTTTGATTTGCTAATTAGTGACAAAGGGAGTTTGGCATTTGGGGCAAATACTTGCATTCTTTAAGCTCAAGTTCTCACATGTGTAAAAGACTCCAAAGGGCAAGGGATATAATGTAAATAAATAAAATGTAAATAAGTATACTATCTGGTTGGTAACAAGCACTGGGGAATTTTGGTTACAACGGATGAAGTGAAGACAATTAATTTAGCCTCTTGGTTCCTTCATCTTTCAAAATGATGACTATTGTTGGCATTAAAGAAAACATTTATTCAGACACCTGGCAAGGCAGCGAGAAAGACTTACACACTCATGGACAGGACTCTTGCCGTCTTACTTTGCAGCAGGATAAAGATATTGAGTTCAACTTTGAATAAAGGAAAAGTGATATTCAGTGCCAAATTATATGGTGACGGTCAGAGGAAAAAAATCACCTAGAAGGAACTTCAGGTCTAAGGCGATTTCTGCTGAATCAGGTCAACAGTATTAGTACAGAAAGTAAGGTAGGGTGAGTTGAGATAAGGAATGTGACCAGACATGAAGGGAGGAAATTTTAACTTAACTGACCCCATGAATGAAAAAATGGACTAAGAGTGGCTTAGCCTTGTTTGGTTATTAGAACAAGAGATGTCATTAACACTGCAGAGGATGCAAACAGCAGCTATATCTTGCTGAGTGCTTTGTCTCAGGCACTGTGTGTGGCCCTTAACAAAAGCTTATGTTTCCCACGACAGGAAAGAGCAAGTACTACGATCAGCACCAGGGACCCTGGGAGCTTTACACACGGACTTCTGGGTTCAGAGCATCGCTTTACCCAGGTGGGCAGATGGTGCTGCAAAGTGGCATCCGTAAGTACTGTTCTGTCTTGGCTTAAGTGTGGTTGTGTGACTAGCTCTAATCTCACCTTCTGTGTTTAGTAAATATTAAAGATGAGTGGATTAATTAATGAGCCATGGGGAGAAATGCAAGTTTCAGTCATTTTTAACCTCTCCTGCATTTTCTTCTAATTATCTATTTGAATTTTAGTTAGTGTTTGATTTGTTTTTAAAGATTTATTTTTATCAGTTTGTGTGTGTACGTGTGTGTGTGTGTGTGTGTGTGTGTGTGTATGTAGTGTGACCACAGAGACCAATGAACTTGGATTCCCCTGTAAGTGCAGATAACACTCTTAACAACTGGGTCATCTCTTGAACCCTAGGGCTTCAATTTTTTGAGGGTACTTATCACCTGCCTACATATAGTAGACATTTGTTGAATGAATGAATGAATGAATGAATGAATGAATAAATAAATGTTGGTCATTAGCTAAAATGTCCCTGGACCCGGAGCAATGAATATTTTGATTTTCCTTTGTTTATATTAGTTAACGGAGCCACCCAAAAAGTACATGCAGTTGACAGAATATGAATGACTAATTTACAAACATTTATATTTCAGAGTTAGGAAACATGGTGAGATTAGGAAAACAGTGAGGACAATGATTTACACACAATAAACTAGTTCAGGCAATGACATCCTCACAGATTACAGCTTAACATGATTAAACAGCACATAGAACATACATGTATGATAGACATTGCTTTTGATATTGACATACCATCAGTTATACACATAAGAAATATTGCCAGTTACAGTTTGGGTGTGAAATAGATACTTTTTTTGATACGACATTTCAAATTACAATGTATCTCAAGCAGCATGCAGGAAAAGTCATTTATTGTATCTTCGTTAGGACATACTTTGCACCGAACTTCCAATTTTTTGGTAGTTAGATCAAGAATATAGAAACCACAGAAATGATAGTATGGTTGAAATCAGCACTTGTATTTACTGGCTGAGAGAATTTCTGGTAAAAACAAAATTTTCTGAATTCATTAACAAAATGCACAGTGATCATAAACATAAAATATATCTTTTCACAATTAATTCTTGTTTATTGGTGATAGAGCAGCTGCAGGGAAACTCAACTCTGAGAGCTGGATTTTACATGACAGCAGGAACTAATTCTTCTGTGGGCTCACGTGATCACAACAGAGATGTTTACCATTTGAAATCACAGATTATAACAAGGTGCTGTACAAAGATCACAAATATTTGGTGTTTTTGTCTTAACGCATATGCTGTGGTCATTCCACAGAGACTAGATTAACAGGCAGTGTAAATCACATGAAATCCTAAGATTTTTAAAAATACATTTTATACAATAGGCTTCTTATTTCTTCACTAGCATTTTATTTTGATTTTTTTTTGTCTTTATACTTAAAGTCCTTAGAGAAACTAAGAGCTTCTGGCTCATGCCAAGAAAGTCAATAGGACTGATATTTCCCACAGGAATATGGCTGAGTGTACATTGAATCACAGTCAATAACGCAACATCTAATATAACAGATTCTTTAAAAAATTCAAATCATGTCTAATTATTTTAAAAGACATAAGTCTGAACAAAACTGTAGTAATCAAAATTTTATTTACAAAACACCTAAATATATAGTTTAATGGCTAGTTCTTGCTAACTGCACAGATTAAATTGGCTTACACAGTCTATTAACTTTCTGTGCAAAATTGGTAGACCTCTGAGACAACGAGTATGGAGTGGTTGGCTAAGAAAATTAGACAGTAATTTCTGTCCACTCAACGTTCTTGAAGAGAAATGTTTTAATGATTTCTCTATGAGACAAGAATCGTCATTAATGTTGGCGTGTTTAAGGTCTCCAAATGCAGCCTAGTGTGATGCAAGAATTTGAGGAAAAGACTGATAAATGCGCCACCGAATTTTCAGATTCAAATATAGCTTTCTTTTACTAAGACTTATGTGTATTACATCGGCTTAAAATATTTCCCTTGGCCATTGGAAACACAAAAAGAATTCATTTTCAAAAGATAGGTGACGGAGTGAGCATTCTTACAGTCACATTCATAATACAAGAAGTTAATCTACATTTTATAGAGCATTAAACAATTTTCTTTGGCAGAAGACTATAAATAACTTCCTTCACTTCTAACATTTCAACGAGGCCATTTTCTTTCCTCGTCATATCAGGTGTGTGGTCACTATTTCAGGATAATAGTAGAACATCGCAGACATAAGAATATTTAATGAGCACAAATTGACAGCTATTTTCAAATAGTATTGATCCTTTGATGCTGGAGAAAGTATTTTACATAGCGTTTCCAACAGTACGTCTGACGATCATAATTGTAATACAGTTGGCAATCATGCTCATGTTGACTTTTCTTCCCCCCACATTTTATCTCTAAAGCATTGATGGAATACACTAAAAAGTTTCTGATTGCTAAACATTTTGCTTCCCCCACAGAATTACTAACTAGGATGCGCACGCCTTTGTGTATGTGTTGTGTGCTGAAAATGGCAATCTTTATACATTTGATTCATTGGCCTAAAGACTTAGTTAAGCTTCCATCTCTATTATCACTGCCAAACCACCATTCAGTGGATTCCCAGTGGGATTGAGCTATTTAAAACACAGTCTTGGGCACGGGCCATCGCCAGGTTGAGCTGGAGGAATGTGAGGATTGCTTACCCTCACCCGTGCTAAGATTGCCTCTAATTTTGTCTGTTTGGCTTTCCACCTCCTGCTCTTTGTCTTTGAAGGTTATTTGGATCCCTTACACTGTGAGTACATCATCTGGACAGACTGTTCTCTACTCTTCAGCATGTGTGTGTGTGTGGGGGGGGGGGGGGATTGGTTGCGGTGCTCAGGTCTTCTCCAGAGAAGAATTCATGCGTGAAGACACGCCAGCCTTTTCTATAGGGATTGCCTGTTACAATTGCTCAGGATAAGCTCAGTTTACCCTTAAATCATTCACCCTGGGGGAAGAAATGCCACTGGAGGCGTGAGACAATTGTGGATTAGTTTCCAACTGGAAATCTCTCTCTTGCCTGCCCCATGGAATGCTGCCAGTGGCTGAGCAGCATTTTGTGCATATATACAACAGCCATTTCCTTTTCTGGTCCTTGTTTAGAGAGCCATGAGTGTCTCTTTGCTGTGAGCATTGTGCTCTACAAAACTCCCAGAAGAGCCCCGGGAAGTCCGGTTACAATCACAGTTGTGTCAGCGGTGGTTATTATGGCTTTTGGGAAAGAGACTTGTCTTGTACCATTAACCTGTGACCATCACCGGGAATAGTACTGACAGGCAAATCTGCTTATGGTTTTAAAACAATCATCTGCTACCTTCTCATGCCCGAGCCTTTTCCGTGTTCTCCGAAATAAGGGCCTTTCATTATCTAACTGTTTTCCTGCTCTTTCACAATTCAAATCCAAGATTATTTCAAGGCTTTGGGATTGGAGCGAAATAAACAATGCAATGGATCGTGGAGCAAGGAGAGATGCATGGCAATTTCACCAGGGAAGCTTCCACCATAGAGGTTTCCAAGATGGCTTTCAACAGTCAGAGAGGATAGCAAGGCTTTGGATCTTAGTGACAAATTTGAGTTAATTGCACAGAATCGAGCTTAGGCCTTCTGCTGTAAATATTATATTCCAACTCTGCAACGGCCCTAGTGGCGAGGTGACTTGTCAGCAAGACTTTGATTGTGAGTAAAAGAGAGTTTAAGTGGAGATGCAGGGGAAGATGACTGAGACCAAATGGGCTGTGCTTGAACTGGGGATACAAGAAGTCAGGTGCATTCGAGAGGAAGAGGACAAGAGGGAAGTCATCAGTGCCAAAGTACTCCTCACTCCCCACCCCACTTCCCATAGCAAAGGGACAACCTAGGCTCAAGCTTTGGCCAGAATCAGTAGACACACACAGCTTCTTGAATTGCTTGAAAAGCAGGGACAAACACGTGGTGGGTATTTTAAATATTTAAGAGTGTTGGGTTAGATTTTAGAGGACAGATCGACACATGTCCACACTTACTCACGTAACTCACTATCTCAGCTTTTCTTTCTAAGACATTCTTATCTGCTAAGTGACCTGAGTATTCAGCACTCCAAGGCCAAGAAGAGAGTCTTGAAAGTTGACCCCAGGGTACCTAGAGTGATGAGGTCTATGCAGTATGTTGTGTCCCAGCTTTTTGCGCCCTGTGGCTTGTTTTGAAGGAGCTTCCCACTCCTCAGACCAGAAGACATTCACTCAGCAGGACATAGGACTGCCACAGAATAGTTCAAAATGAAGGATAACACCAGCACTAGTGAAGCAATCAGGAGAAAGGTTTCCTAGCCTGTCCATGGCTGCTCAGGTAAAGAATATGCAAGGCTGTATTTTAAAAGAAAGACTCAGGGAAGAGAGGCTTCCTGAAGTCCCATTACAAGGGGGAAAAAAAGCAATTGTGAGGTTAGTTCTCCTTCAAATTGAATTCTAAGTCTGAGTTATGGACTTTTAAACCACACGTCTGAGTCTGTTGTACTGAGAGGCAGGCTGCCATTTAAGCCGTTAAGCTTCTTTCTGGGGGAGCAGAGCTAAACAGCGGGTGACATTGATCATCCTTAGCCATGCAGAACACTGTGTGGATCAATGGTTTTGAACTGCAGCATGCATTAAAACAATCCAAAGAGCTTGTTAAAACTTGCAGGGTGGAGCCTAGTCCTGGCATATCTCATTTACCAAGGGATGAGGTCTCAAGTGGGAGCAGCTGATTTGCATATTTCCCAGGTTTCCTTGTCATTGCTGATGCTGGTTGGCTGCAGATCAAACTTTGAAGAATCGCTGTAGTTGCTTATTCTAAAACACTAAATATAGTTAGCCATGTCATCTGAATTGGATTCTCACAGCAAAGCTTTGCCATATGGGAGGGGAAGATCAATGTTGAATTTTCTCTCCTGAAACCCATCAAGTAGTAAGGGCTAGATTCCATGGGTGTTGGTTTAATTAGAGAAGAGTTTTAGGTTTAGAAAGTTAGGCATACATCAGTATATACAATAAACATGTTCATAAAATATAATTCTATGCGCTGGCCTTCCTGTGTAATTTTCTATGTTATTAAGTGTAACACCTTAAAAGTCCATTTCTAGAAAATTCTACCCTCTTTTTTCATATAATATTATTTTAGTAATAACATAAGAGTTCTCTTCTGCCGCTTAGGTGACAGTCACCTTATCACTCCAGAGTAATTAACACGGCGACTAAATTTGTTCACAGTTTCTTGGCTGAGCACAAACAAATGAGTTGTTGATATTTTCTTAGTAAAACCTTTGTGGAAATTTGTTAATCCCAAGAACTTCTGAAAATGAATGAACAGGGAAGGTTTCAAGGGACCTCCTGGGGCTTTCAGGTGAGAAAGAGTTAAGGTGGACAAGCTGTCAGCAGGCATAATTAGAGACTGCAATTTGTTTGGCTGGAAGACCTGGGTCAACTTAGGAGGCGGGGCTCTGGCAGGGAGTTGAAGAAGATTGACAGGAATTTGTGTGAATGGAAGGAAGGCTAAGTTCATTGGGAAAAGGGGGTTCTCTTCCTTAAGCATAGAGCAGCCTTTGATTGACAGCACACCTAGGATTGCTGAAGGCAGTCAGCAGCAGAAAATGCCTATAGAGCATCTTTATTTTTAAAAAGATGAACCTCCCCATTTTCCAGTTTACTATTTCCTAATCAAATCTGAAATCGAGGTCAAATTTGACATAAGGGAATCATTGCAATTTAAAATGTGATGCATTTGCTGCAACTGAACAGCAGCTCTGGGTGGAAACATAAATGAGAAGAGAAAGGGTATTTTTATCCCCAAGCAGCAGCTACAGAAATTATTGCAGTAGTAACAAAATATTACCCATTTAAATTTCTTCTCTCTATGTTGAGGCTCACAAAGCCACTTCATCTGTTGCCATATGTCAGTAATGTTTAGTTACTCTTCCCCCCTTACAAATTTGGCTTTGTGGTTCAGGACTAATAAAGTTGGAATGCGTTCCTTCCACTAATGTTGAAATAGTTTTGTCATTTCTTAAGACATTCCTTCAAGAGAAAGCTTACATTCATTCCACAAAATATTCTCTTTTACATAAGCAGAGGTCTGTTATTTTTTTCCTGTCTTTCCCTTGTGAAAATGTCTACATTCTTCTTCTGTGTTTTATGTGCAATTTCAGATCACCAATGAAGTATTTTGACTGTGGCAGTCCAGGTAATTGCTACAGTTATGATTTAAGAAGTCTTTTTTATGAAATCTTTTGGAGCAGTCATTTCTCCATAACAAAGAGGGTATTGAAAAGACAATTGCATCTGTAGCAAATGATACCCTTTTTTTCATTTTGCTGTAGAATACTTGTACCCTTAAATAAACTTGGAGGGGGTGCTGCTGGCCACTGGACAGCTTGTTTATAATTTCATGTAGTTTAGGATAAAACAGTGTTGACAATCTCTTTCTCCTATCTGTTGGGAAGCCTAAGGAATGCAAAACAAAAGTGGAATTGTTATGAGACACTCTGAGAATTAAAGGTCATCCTTAGAAGAAGGATGGATTTGTCCATAAGAAGGACACGGAGTTAAGTCCACTCTAATCTTTCAGATGCTTCTTCAAATGAAGGAAACTTCCCACTCCCTCCCCTCAGGGAAAAAAAAAAAGCCCGTCCTATACCCCAGAAGTGTACAAATAACTATTATAACATCTATTGTTATGTTCCCCCCAGATGCATGGGGCTCGATTGACTTGGCACTTGTTCTGATAACTGAATACAAGGAGCAACTGATTGGCATCATAAAGCATCTTTAGCCTATATTTACAAGAGGAGGGAACAGGAAGCTACTGACCACATGGGTGGGGCTTGATGAGTTCTAAAAAACGACATGAAAGTATCATCTCATCTCTCATGGAGCAATGTGAAGATTCAAACCCAGAGAGATCTGAAGACTCATAACTTTCTGAAATAAGTGATCTATCTGCCTTTCCAAAAGAGAAAACTTTCAAGTCTTCTGTCTGATGATGACTGTGCATTCAAAGGAAGAGAGCACTGTGTACTCAGGGGAGAAGCTAAGGTCCTCTTCTTTAGAGGCTGTCAGTTGACTAGGAATGGAGTTTTAGCTCAGAGAGGAGCCAAACGCTCCAAGTCAAGAACATTCAGTGTTTGTGGTTAGTAGAAAGAACTTCAATAATGACCAACCTGTCCACAACTTGAAATGCTAACAGAGCAGTCTCACATGGTGATTGGCTCATAGAAGACTCTGGAATGTGTTATTTAAGTTTGAATCCATTCATCTTGATGGTGAAAGACAGAATGTGAAATTAAGAAAATCATTATTTCTACTTTTTAAAGGGAAGTTCTTTGATCAGTTTCAGAATGACCCTATTAAATATTCTCACATTCATAAAGCATCCTTAGACCAAAATGAAAGATTAATTTAATTAGAGGACTGTAATTGGGATCTGATTAAATTCAGAGCCAGTGTTAATTGTCTTAAATCATCCTTCCTTTAATGTCTCATGCTACCTTATGATTCTTAACATTTTATCAAAATAAGGGCTGGAAATGTATGAGATTGTGTCAGAAACATAAACTCTGATTTTGAAACTGCTCCACTGGCCAGACTGAATTATTATTATTTTTTTCAAGTTTGAACCGAAGGAAAAGTCTGTGAATGATTGTGGATGGGGCTTTGTTAAACTGGCTAATTTTCTGCCTCTCTGGTTTAACTTGTGTCTGATCCCTTGTCAGTCTTTAGTCATCCATTTGCTGTTTATCTAGCTCCACCCATCCTTACCATAGCTGGTTCATGAGCACAGCGTTAACTCCGAGACAGGTAAAATGACATGTGCTTTTGTTCAAAGCTTCTGTTTCAACCAGGATGGTACTTGGCATTCTCCTGCCCCCTACATTATATGCTCTGAAACAGCTGTTCTGAAACTTACCAACACTCTGAAACTTACAAAGACGGGCAAGACATCAAGACTGCCCAACAAAAACCTGTCCTCCTCTATAGCCCAATAGCCTGTGCAAAACATTCCTTTCTTTTGTCTTGGTTTCAACAAATCATTAAATATTTTAAACTCCTTTAAAGACACCCAAAATAATTCTGATTTTTTAAAATAAAACAATTCTAAATTTGAGGTAAAGACAGAATTCTGCTGGCCATGAAGCTGATGTTGATTAGTGGAAGTTCTGAAGCAGTGTGAAATGAATCTGAAGTAGTCATAAAGAGATCTTTCTTTTCTTTTAACAATGACACGACCACTAGAGTCGGTGTGTCAAACTTCCTATAAGATACCCATGAGAGCAGGAACTCTGTTCTTGGAGTTTTGGACAGAAACTTGGAAAGACAAAAAGGTTTTTGATGACTTAATGATAACAATTGTAAATGAATTCCAAAGGCTTTGCACCTGTTCAGTCTCATGCCTTGCCCTAAGAGGACTCCTTGGAGAAGCCTCATGGGCAACTGGTTGGCTGGGCTAGTAAGATTTTGGAGGGGAAATGCCAGAGACAAGGCAACCAACAGACGTGAAAGTCTGGGTGTTGGCTCTGTTGTGAATATCTGACCTTAACCTGAGCCAGAGAAAGATCCACAGGCTGGGGATATAGTATATCAGTGGACAGGATGGATGAAACCTTCCTCTGTGTCTCCCAATATGCAACCAGGCCTGTGATAAAGACTGGGTGAGACCCTTCTCTGTGTCTCCCAACTGTAGGACACATTTCTAGAAAATATTAACTGACACGGTTGCCTGCCTGCTTGATACCATCTCTTAAACAAAAATACAAAATCCTGTCCTGTTTTAACTTCCAGAATTTGATCTTGGCCAGAACTTTTTTTTTCAAGAGCTGTTTTTGACACTCATTCTCAAAGGCTGAAGGAACCAAATCAGCCCTAAAGGCTTCCTTGCTGAAATATTTGCTAAATAAAAGGAATAAAAATGAATTTATTTTTAAAAAAATATTTTGCACCTTTTTTGGGAAGGATACTTGTTATTCTAAACATCTCTCAAACAACTTGAAATGTACATCTTTCCCTTTAGAATAACACTCCCTTTTTTGCTTTGTTCCACTTATGAAAGAGATATGATGTGAAAGGAACTAACTTGACATGAATTTTTGGGCAACCCTAGATAGATATGTAGGATGCAGTTCAGGCTATTCAACATGTGAAACTTATCTTTGTTTTTGATGTACATATCACTATGGTGTGGGAGAAAAAGGAGAGAAGGGAGCCAATGATTAAACAAGGTTGTCCAGTTTCAAGAAAAAGAATCTTGCAATTAGTAATTTAAATCTTCTAAACTTAGTTTTGCACTGGTTAAAATGCACACCGTTGGTAGAAAAAAGACTAAATGCAACATTCACCTTTGTTATACTCTAAAATGCTGGTTCATCTGAAACATTTAACTACTGGGAGATCTGTCTGGACCACATGTTAGTGGGGCTGACTCAAGACCAATATCCCATCCTATGTATTGATTCAACATTATAATTAGTCTTGAAACGTTAGTAACAATCTCAAAATGGAGTCATCTTTTAAAAGGGAGAAGTATTAAGTTACCAAGTTGAGTAATTTAAAAGCATTATACACTTTAAAATGTAAGGGAATTATTGAAAATATTTTTATAAGGCATCTGCACAGCTCTAATGTATTCCACAAAATAATTCAATGACATGGAAAGTATGCCAAGAGCATACTTTTCTTTAGTTGTCCAAGCCAAAAGCTATATATGCCCAGCTTTGACTTTCATATCAAACATGAGAATGAGTTTAAATTATACAGTTGTCTCAGGGAAATGGAAATCATTCTTACTTAAAGGTAATGACTTTCAAATATCTTAAATAAGAGTAATATGTGATGAAATCCTACTTAACACATTTTCTTTATGCCAAACTGTTTCATTTTAAAAAAAAATAATCTTGTCAGAGGTATAGATAATTCTCACCCATATCATTATTTTAACTTTACAACTTGGTTCTATGAGCATTATGGCAATGCAGGATAAAAAGTTCCCAAGATTTTTCACTGGGATATTCTTCAAGTCTAATGTTTACTAAAATGAATTTAGCAATGTAGGGAAAGATTCACAAAGAATCTCATTTTTTTTTTCACAAAAGCAGCCATTGTGATCATATGATTCTTATCATGGATATGCTATCTAGTTTATTTCTTCAGTGAAATATTTTGAGAAGCAGTTACGGACTTGGTTGAATGTAATAGATTTAATACATAGGAGTAGTTATTTCATTTGGAAAAATCCTCAGGATTATGATGTTCACAATAGAGGTGGAACATTGCAAATCAGCAACCATATAAATATTGCCTTCTTGCAGAACTGATCTTTATTCCATATTTGCAAGGGAGTCTAAGAAATAGTTCTATAGATTATAAGATCACTAGTGGGGTACTGGTAGAGGGCTGTATAGTCATCCTAGTAGGTAACTTTCCCTTCCTCAAGTACATTTTTAGATTTGGCAGAGTATACCTGTCTTTGCAACAAACAAATTATTAGGGTTGGACTTTGTGAGTTAACTCCTAAAACAGATCCAGTAACCCTGAAGTTTGGTAATTTCTTTCTTGGTCTATTTGATTTTTAATGTGAATTTTCTTACCAATTGCATTCCTGAAACACACTAACCAGTGAAGCACTCGGGCCACTCATATTTCTTAGAGTCATATGTATTTTTATGTGTTTACATATGACACTTTAAGAGAAACTCTTCACGGGGCTTGGGGACATATGTCTTGCTGTTCTTTCCCACTCTGTACTTACAGATATTGAATGAATAGCCAGGAGATGGACATGGGGCATGATAAATACAACCCAAGAGACATTAATGAACTAGCATGTAACTCTAGGGTACCGCAGAACCCAAGTATTTGTAGAGATAATACACTTTGCTCTAAAATCTGTTGTCTTTGTGAAAAATAGTCATCTTTGATTTTTCTAGGACAAGTTTGCTCCCAGAAGAAAAACTCTCAAGCATGGGCTTTCCCCTGCTGCTGAGAGGTAACAGCAGGCATCATGAAGTTTACTGAATGTACTAAAAGTGGTGGATGGAAGAATGACAAAGTTGGGCAGTATGGAAAGGAAAGCCTACATTATGTAGTGCTGTTCTTTACAAAAAGTAAGTGCATCAAGAATAAGTAATGATCTGTAAATGTCCCTTGAGACAAAGAAATCAGAGAATGTTTGACAAAACTGAAAACTTTGAGATTCTCTAAGGGCATCCCTTTGGACATCTTGGCAGGCTGAGGCAAGGTCACAGCAAGTTGGATACTTACCATTTCCTATGGACCAGAGAGTGAAAGCACTCTCTGCATCTTAGGAATTCTACCTCTCAGTGGTTGGCCCTTCTGTGAGAAAGATATTCTCTGCCCTGGGAGATTGGTACCCATGGCCTGGTTAAGTATTAAAAATGGAACACCTCACTATTTCAGCTGTGTTTCTTTTCCACGGTATTCCCAGTGATACAGTGCCATCAGGACTAGCCAAACTTTGAGATTTGTTGGAACATGGGAAAACAATGGATATGGCAATAACAGTGTTTGAAAAGAATAGCAAAATTCCCAATCCACTGCAAAAGAAATCAAATTAAATATGTAGGGAGACAGGAATACAAGTTAATGAATCTATTCACATGTCCTTAGAAAGATAAATGTGTTTTTTCATGTCTCTTTTGTGTGACACACCACTTATTTACCAACTGACCATCACACTTCCAAGTTTTGCCAGTGGTTAGAGTGCCTTGCCAAGAGGCATGGTTATTATAAAGAATGCCAGATTATAGCTATAAATTAGGATGCACAATGTCAATGGTGAAATGGCCAAGTATTCCTAAACTCATCATGGTGCAACCACTACCTGCTCTGGGTATAGTTTCCCAAGATCAGAAAAGGAAAATTAAAACCAAGAGGCAGATTCCACATTTTCAACTCAGAAAAAAACAAAACAAAACAAAACAAAACAAAAAACTAAGTAAGTCTTAATGAAACTGAATTAATTGATTTAGAAAAAGAGGGGATTTCTAATTCCTTCTACAAAGCTGTTGGGTATGAGAGCAAACTAGCCCCTCTCACTTGATTTTGATAGGTTAAGGCCAGGAATGCAGGCACATAGCATTTCCAATGGCAAAGCCTGGTGCAGAAAGGGCAATGGACACAATGCATTTCTATTTGTTTGGAGATCACCTCTTGGGGAGGGGCTGCTTATTACATGTGAGCTATCTGTCCATCTTGTAGGCTTGTTTCAGACAGCTTATTTGTATTATAATCTTATATTTGAAAAGCAATAGCAACAAAAAGTTGGTGCACTTATACTTTAGAAAGCAAGATTCTCTGAAATCGTCATGGTTGGAAGCACTGAATCAGAACCTGTGAACTAATGAGTGCTTGCTCCTACGCAGTTGAGAGTCAATCAACCAGAGAATTTTGCCCAAGTCTATTAAATGGTCAAGAATCCTCACTATATTACTCATTTTTGCTCTTTATTCAAGAAGTAAACACTGGCTGCCAATTTTGTATAAAATTAAAGATCAATATTCAGAAGGCATAATCAATTTTTTGATTCAAGAAGAGTGTTTAAATTGTACCTTATTTCCTCCCTCCCTTGAAAATGTGCCACACATGCCCACAGGATGCTATAATGAAAGATTTTGTGGGAAATAAGATGCTCAGATGAACAGAGTCATTTACATGCAGCTAATGTCCAGATTCTACCACAGTAAGAGGGTACTATTTCTTTTCCTGCAGTTCTCGTTCTATGCCGGGTCACCTCTTCTAGGCTCTTTCGATTGTTAGGGATAGGAAAGCCAGGAACATATAATGCATAAAGCCAGAAGTTAATAACATAAAACATAAGCTGAACTAGGAGCAAGAAGAAATACAATGCATGATACTAAATGAACGATTTGCTTGTCCCTTGGGAAGTAATTGTACTTCCAATATCCATTGTGTTGGTCTGTTGATTTAGTCTAATGCACTGTGTGCTAAAAGTTTATGAGTCCATGACCTTGGATGCAGAAAGCAAGAAGATCGAGTTAAACTAAAAGGTGAGAAAATGGTGACAGCAAGGCACACTTAATGTTGATCACAGTGTCACAGGACAGACAGACACTCTGACTCCATGTGCTGCTCTTGGGACATTTAAACAAGAACATTGCAGGTCCAAAGAGCTGACATTTGCATGACCTTGAGTTCTGGCTGTCTCCTTTCCTGTGGATGAGGATACCAATTGCACAATGATACCTTGTTGGTCTTTATTTCTTCAAAACATGAAAACAAACAACGGACAATGAGAAGAGGCATTCCCCAGTACAGAACGGAGACTGGAGCCTATGGTAAAGAGAGGCATTCCCCTGTACAGAATATGCTGTGCCACTAGTGATGAAATCACAAACAATTAGAAACTTTATTTCTTTTTCGTGTCGACAATGTGTACCAATTTCAAGGAACAACACTATTAGTGCCTGTTCCCCTAAAGTCGTGCACAATACACACAAAATAAAATAATAATCAAACAAATAAAATGAAATCATTTCACACGTAATAATTAACAACCCTGAACATCATATTTTCCCTACAGCATGAAGACTGAAAAGGCAAACAAACCAAGATGCTTGAACTTGAATCTGACCAACAGCAAGAATTTCTTGGGAAGGTCTCGGTGAAAATTCGCTGCAGGATTATTGACATTCCAAAGATGGAATGTAACAAAACAGAAACAAAAACAAATCAAAAACAGTGCAAGACCTTTCTAATATGTTTAACCATGTATATCCTTGGACTGCATTTACTTAGTAGTTCTAGGCTAGCTTTCCACGTTTAAAATCTAAAATAAAGTTAAAAAGAAAAAAACAAGGTGGGTTAGAATGTACCTCTGTGGGTCACCAGTGTCACCAATATTGGCGGGCTGCAGTATGTTGTGATGGAAAGGGAGCAGTGCCACAGAGGTAAAAACCGGTTAACTGCGTCTTCTCAGTGAATCCGGTCACCACCATGACTACCCTGCTTGGTCTAAAGTAGGAAGATGAACGAACCTGCAAGTCGGCCAAGGTGAAAGAGTACTGTTCCAGAGTGAAACATTACATTTTTTTTTTAAGAAAAAAAGTGAGTATTTGGTCAACTGCTTTTGTTGTGCAAATTTTTTTCTTAATGTGATTGGGTTAAAAAGAAGTCATAATTATCTTTCTCTTGCAAGATAAAACTGTCTCAGTATGGTTAGGCCAACTCATACTATTTGAATAGGGATCCCATTCACTACATACCTCCTGGGGGCAGGAATCTGGGCTTCCTTGGTCACTGGTCAGCTACCAGGAAGTAGTATAATACCTACTGAATGGGTAAAAAGTATCTAACTTCGCACTCAGTGACTAAAGGTGTATTGAATAATGGACAGCTATGATCACAGTGGAAGAAGAGAAAGGAGGTCTCAGAAACATTTATTTCTTAAGTATCTTTGAATCAATAATGCAAAGGGTCATGGAGGTCTCAGAGACCTGTCTGAGAGGCGGGTGAAGCCATTCCATTTCCCTTGTTAGTAGAAGCACTGCTTTTGGAATGTTGGGTTTAGCTTTGCTCTTTGGTACTTTTGAATAGAAAGAGCTATTTCTTTCAAAGGGTTAAAAAAAAAAAACTCCCCAGTGTTGTCTTCCTGGAATGCTCCAGTCCCTTTGTGTTATCTCCTCTTCGCTGTCATATGCAGTGGACTTCTAAAGGCCCACTGGTCACCCTGGTTTCTTTTCCACTCAGGAGTTGCTAATGAATTCAGGAAGTCTGGACTGGAAGGTGAATGAAACAGGGCTCAAAACAGCCTTCTACAGAAAAAAAAAAATAAAACAAGGTAGCACTATCTACTATCTGTGCCAGACAGAGCAGATGTGCAATAAATACCTTGGGGGAGGGGTAGTGTGGAAACGGTGGCTCTAAAAGTACAGGCACACCCAAAGTGTCCACTTTTCTCCCCAGCCTTTCTCTTTGGCCTGCCTGAATTAATCATGGGTGATTCTCGGAGGCCTCTGCTATGCCCTACATGGCTAAAATCCCATGGAGATCTCTGTAGCTCCTCTGTCCTCTCAGTAACTTTAGTCTCTCCTCACATGACAGTTATTGCTTCTTAGAAATGAATGTGCAGAATCATGAACACTAAGCCATTTTCTTCTTTTATACCTACTAATATTCAAACTCAGTAACAACTCAAAAGGAACAACTCAGGTAAAAGGAAAACTCACGTCTTCAATGTCCAATCAACATTGCTGAATGGGAGAACAGTATTTGCTATACTCTACTATATACAGATACGCTTTGTTTTCTTAGTTTGTCGTCCATGCACTGTGTAAAGGGGATCACAACAACATTCCCAAACAGGCACATGAAGGAGGGCAAATGTTCAGTCATGACTGGAACAGGATTGTGCAAGCCATGGATGCCACTGAAAATAAAACTGATGGAAAAATCCCAGGCAACAGCAACGTGGGACCTGGACACACGTGATGACCAAAAGGATTATCTATTTTTTTTGGGGGGGGGATGGGGTTAATCTTCCTACTTGCAGGGGATTGGGTAGTGGGCAGGAGGGGGGTCTGGGATGGGATACCTGGGGTATTAGCTGGGCTGGGCAGAATAAGGGTCTTGCTAATCACAGTTCAGAGCTAAAGAGATAAGGATGAAGAGTTCTGGGAGTTCCTGGGAATCTAGGCACATTATCCCTGTACCAGTTGAACGAGAGTGCCAGGCACCATATCCTTAGTCTACGTCTAGAACCATCGCTTCTCCTGGCTCCAGTTCAGCTCCCCTGCTTCTCTTCCTCGAGGCAATTCGCCTCTATTAACATCTCGGAGATCAGCATAACATTTTGGTAATAAAGACGTGCTTCTTTCTTCTTCCATGCCCAGATCTTTCCTTAATCCAAAGTAACGTTTAAAGTGTTTGGAGGAGGTGAGGAGAGAATCATAATGATTTCCAGATTGATCCCAAATCCATACACCTTTGGGTGGATCAACGCTTCCCATAAAGAGAAGGAGGATCCCGGCTCTCCCAACAAAACAAAGCAAAATCAAACCAAACCAAAAGCCAACCACCACCTCTCCGACCCCACTGGAAACAAAACAAACGAAAAACAAACCAAAGCCTTAGCCATTTACAAACTTGGAGAGGGTACAGCCCTCCTAGGCTGAGATGCGAGATGCACCTGCCTCCAGGCCTTGTTCAACACGATGATGCCCTGGGAATGGGAGATGGTGGTTTCTGACTTCCGCCCTAGTACAGAGTATGTTCTTGAAGCTGGATTCCATCAGCAGGTTAAGTGAACATAACAAATGTCAGTCTCCTCTGTTCATTATACATAATTTTTTATGTATATATATGTATATATATAAATTTACTATATCTGATTGTTCCTTTAGAAGCCTTTTATGTGGCAGTAGGCCTCCAGGGAGGAGAAGAAAATGTACAAGAGCCACAGGAGCACGAACAAGCAAGATGTGAGGAGCTTGGCAGTCCGGGGCCCACCTAGCTCACCTCCTATTTCTGGCCTCCGCCGATACAGCAGCACCCCCACGTTGATGAATGCAAAAATGGTGAAGAGAGTGACGGAGAAAGCTAGCGTGCCAGGGGACACTCTGAACTGTTCCCCGTTGGCCGCGTGGTAGATGGCAGCAATGGACCAGGCTACGCCGATTCCCAGGAAGACGTTCACAGCGTTGCTTCCGGTGACGTTGCCTATGGATGCATCTGCGTACTGGTCCTGGGTGGCTGCTACTTTGCTGGCAAACGTGTCTGCAGAGACAAGAAAAAGAGGCCATGGCACTGAGTTAACCTTATACGCATGCCCATGGGGTGGGTGCCTGGAGAGTTTACTGTGTAGTCTAAACTCAAGCCCACAGGAGGCTTCTGTGGCTTTTTGAGTCAGTCTTCTGTTCAAGGGACGGAGCGTAGATATCAGGAGTCTATAGATATCCTAGTTCTTTGTCTATTGGGCTTGTATGGTATTTTTTTTTTCAGAAGTATTCACGGCTCAAGTTATATCAAAATCCAGTGGGGGCCTTCAAAAGACTGACATTACAAGACTCCATCCACCTGTTCTTGGTCATAATCCCTGGGGTCCAGAAATCTATTTTCACAGAATCCCAAAAGATTTCGAGGTCACTACGCATTGAAAATGGTTGCTGGAGGGTATTACTAGAATGCTGTATCAGCAGCTATTGCTTACAGATGAGCGAGCTAACATGCCAGGAGAGAGTTCCAAAGATCAGGGAGCAAGTCAATAGAGCACTGAAAAGAATTAGACTAATCACAGCTGACATTTACCTAGAGCCCCGAGAAGAGGGAAGTAGGTTCACCCGTATGACCGTATTGATTGGGATAATGATAACAAGTGATGAAATGAGGCCCAAGGATGACACGCAGCAGGCGTCATGTCACGCAGCTAAGAGGAAGTGATGGTGGATTTGGGGCCTCTGCCTCCTGCCTTCAGGACTCACACCTGTTCACTGCACCAGCTCACCCATCGCCATGCCGCAGACACTAGTAGGTATCTCTGTTGGCAATGATCTTCACTGTGCCATTTTGTGAGGACAAAATAGTCATCACTCACTTGAGAGCAAGTTTGGCGTAGCAATAGCTTCATTAGCACACAAAGGTCTCCAATCCTCATTTACAATGTACTCTGTGCCCCCTGAGTCCCAGCTGTTCCTCTGTGGAATGCGGATACCGATAGTCACTTTAGACTGGCTGTTTTTAAAATGGGATAGAATATGGGAAATACTGTTTACATTTCTTGGCCATGGTCGGTAGCTTTTTGTTGCTTTGTGGAGACAATAGAGAGAGAGTAATCTAAAGTAGTTCACAAGTTGGTATGGGTTGAACTACGGCCTCACTGGTTAATCAGATACTCCATGTGTGCTGCCTAGTTCCTGATACTGGTGAGACGGCTCAGTGGGTAGTCGTGCTTGCTGAGCAAGCCTATTGTCTTTAGTTCAATTCTGGGAACCTATGTACCAACTGACTCCCCCGCAAAGTTGTCCTCACCTTCTGCAGCCATGAGACGGCATAAAGCCCCTCAACACACATATACTCTCTATACACAGTACACTCATTCACACGCACACACTCTCTCACAGACAGAGCTGTTTTTGTTGACCCTGTAAATGGCACAGCATTTTCATAAAAGATGTTGATAATGGCCCCACTGAATTAACATTTGCCGCTTTAGTGATGGTGAGTATCATAGGACCAGCAGTTTCTGGGTGCCTGGCTTGCTCTGGCAAGCAAGTAGCCATGTAATAGCTGAACCAGTTTCTTCTTTCTGATCCTATTCTGTCATCAACACCCTTATGAAGAAACTTCCATGGAAACAAGATGAAAAGGGTGCATGTTCCTATCATCCTGTAGATATGCTCCTTTGTGACAGGGAAGAAAGTTACCCACTGCACCTGGCTATCATATTCCTTCTGAAGGGGAGCTGGTCAGCCCTGAGGGCCCGTGGTACTTTTGATCACTGTCTGTGGTGGGTGCCAGATTTTGCATATCTTCTAAAACTAAAGAGATGAAGAAGATCTCTACATACTGCATATAACATACACAGGTTACATGCATATTCTCATTTAACCATCTCACAGTCTGGTCTTACAGCCACATGCAATTATTCCATTTTTGTAATTTTGAAATCTCTGACATCATTATCTTATACCTCTTGGATAAGAGTCCTGGAGAAAAAATAGTTTTAGACCAACATGATTCAGGGTCCATTCCCACTACACACCACATTCCTATCCCAGGAAGATCAAAGGCTTCTTTCCTCTTAGTTACAAGCCACTCTGTTTCTTCTAACCAGAAACTTTGAAGCTGGTTTTTGTCAAAGAGCCTTTTCTGTTTCAAGGGGAAGCAGCCTGAGAAGGCACAGACTGTCTGCTAATCGAGCTTTTGGATTTGCTCTGCCTTCTGTGTTTGTCATCGCACCCAGCAGCCCAATCAGGATCCTCGGAGACGGGTGAATAAAGCAAGCCAGACACATCCTAATGGTCTCTGCATTTTCTTATTCAAAGTTATTGGAGCTGTGCATGTTGAAGTAGACTGAAAGAGAAGAGGTTTTGTGCCTTTTCTTCTCCAAGGGCAGCCAGTGCAGAGGAATAAAGTGATGTGGGAGTGTCATATATCAATCTGTTGATTTCATTGGTTAAGTTATAATAAACCAGCTGCTTGGCCTCATGGCTGGAACATAGATGGGAGGAGTAAACAGAATAGAATTCTGGGCGGAAGAGGAAGTGAAGTCAGACTCTGCTCTGCTCCCGGAGAGACCCGACAGCTCTGCTGGAGCAGAGACGCCATGCTCAGCTCTCCCGGGTAGACGCGATAGCTCTGCTCTCTGAGGCACACGCGATGAAGATGGATGTAGGCTAGAATCTTCCCGGTAAGCGCACCTTGGGGTGCTTACACACATTATTAGAAATGGGCTAGTCCAGGTGCGAGAATTAGCCTGTAAGGGCTAGAGTTCATGGGCCAAGCAGTTCCTTAAATGAATACAGTTTGTGTGTTGTTATTTCGGGCATGAGCTAGCCAAGCGGCTGGGGTGTTGGGGACGCAGCCCCGCCGCTCATATTCCAACAATAAAGAGATAAAGAATCAAGAGGCCATGGTGGGAGAAAGCAGCTTAGGGGAGAGTCGCTGCTGGGGAGTCCCTGAGCCCTGCTCAGATCTGAAGTGACTGCCCTCACTGTCTGATGGTGACAGGTGGCCAACCAAGTGAGGGGCTGTCGGCCAAGGAGCGATTCCCTTCTGAGACAGGGATAGGTTACCAAGCCGGCTTCCTCTCCTAGCAAGTACTTCCAGGGGACATGTTCCACTTGGCAGGGAGCACAGTCAAAGATCCAAGGGACCTGGCCACCCAAACTGGTCGTGTTTGCTGGCTTGCAGAGCATGACAGATCTGTGACAATTTTCACTATTGCTATTTTCCAATAGCCTGTTTATGCGACTACTGTGTGAACAGTTCAATTTGTAACAACAGGTTCTGATTTCAAATACTTTCTTCTGGAGCCCCTGACAATTAGGAGCCCAAATTACCAACTTGCCACATAAATAAAACATGTTCAGAACCTCCTTGAGTCTGGTAGGTTTTATTTACCTGGGTTATTCACTGGGCCTCTTGTCTATTTTTATTTCCAATCCAAGAGCTATGTAAAAGCATTGAAAAATGCATGCAAATCCAAACCATTAACTTTGACTGTGACAGCTAACCATAGCTCAGGGTTCCAAATGCCATGCGATGGGATCTGTCCAAATCGCCCTCCGTAGCTTCCTCGCTGCTTTGTGACAGAACAACATCCCGCACACAGTATGTGAGAGGGTGATAAACCCGCCCTGAGCCCCAAGCCTATACCGTGACGGTGGCTGAACGAGACAAATGCTGGCCTACAAAGAAAAATCCAAGAGCCCACTGCTGCCTTGGTCTCAGAAGGGATGCAACGCTGAGAGTTTGGCGCACTAAATACAGAGGTAGGGGAATCAGATTTCCAATGAGATTCACATACATTCAGACACGTTCATGGCGGCATGCATCTGCTTTTTTACACGCAAACCCCTGCCAACCTCTCACGCTTCAACTCCCGTCTTGAGCTCTAATTAATTGTGCACTAACGTAAAGTCTACAACATTTAGGCCTGTCCTCTCAGTCTGGATGACTATAAACCAGGAAGAGTTAGGTCATAACTGTCCTCTGTGGAGCTGTTTCCAGTTCACTTTACATAACCTTGGCCAAGACATCGGGTCAGCATACAAGAATAATTCCCTGTTTTCTTCCAGGACTTAATTTTTCGTAACCTGGATCTCTTCAAATTTATAGTTACCTAAACATCTCTCCTGGAAATGGCCATCCTTACAATGTCACAGATGGGACATAGGCTTCCCTGCTATAATTCAGGACTGTCATCTCACCTCAGATGGTTCACCTTATTCCCTACTCTTTGGGGACAACTGTCCAGTTCCAAAGTGACTCGTGCCTAGGAGTGACTTTTCTGGAACCAGTTTCGCGGTGGAGATATGGTTACTTATCTGTTAACAATACAGATTGTGGACACTCTAGGACATGGTCCATTATGGACAGAGGTTCATGGTGTCACAGTAGAAGGTAGCTCACCAGGGAGATACTCTTGCACCTCTCTAAGGGCTCCTGTGTAAAGCATACCCCCTCCAGTTCCAGTTTCCTTTTCTAAAATGAAGAATCCAGAAGATCTCTAAATCTGCTAGTTATTGGGTGGTCCACACATTAGGTCAACATATCAGGTAGATTTTGGATTTGTTCTGCAGTTTGGATGTGACCAATTGCTTCCATTAGAGCCAGAATCTAGTTCATTTAGGAGGTATTGATAATTCGAGGAAGGAAGATTTCAGATCGGAAGCTATCGCACTGAGCAGGTTGCGTTAGTTTTAATAAAATTAAACCACACAGCCTTTTATCTTTTAACACTGGGTAAAAACAAAAAAATGTTGGTGAAATTATTACCTCCCACCCTTATGCGGGAAGCTCCAGTTTAAATGGGATAGAGGAAACTTTGTGCTAGGGGAGGCGTTTTCCTAAACGAACCAGATTCTGGCTCCTCATCTTGGAGGAGAAAAGGTAGACGTGTATCTACCTCACAGGGTTTGAAGGGAAATGAGTCACCGTGTATGGAATCTAATGAGTGCTTAACATTCCTAAGTGATTCTACATACACAGGAAAGCCAGAGACTGTAGTGTAGGGGAGCCAGACTCTGTGCTGATGATTCTAAACTTCCGGTAAC